TTTTCACGCGAGCCGCCGCGAGATAAGGCGGAAGGGGGGATGGGGAATGGGCGTCGCTATACGACGTACGACGGGATAGATGCCGATAAGAGCAATCCTGAGGGTGCCGCGTTTCCACATAGCACGACCTAAGTGTCGACGACGAGAATGCACGATAAAGATCGCCGACGAGGGGCGGCGGGCCCGGCGCGTGATATTATTAGCGCGTAACTCACGGAAATAATATAGCCATAATACGGCGCGGCCTGCGTGTATCACGTCGAAAAGTTATTATTAAAGCTGGTCATTATTATTAAAGAAGACTGCGCGCGCGTGGAGAGTATCTCGCGCACGGTACGCTGGGATGCCGACATGAATGACCGCATGAAATTAATTTTTTCGCGTAAACTCGTGCGAGTGGACGTCACTTCGCTCCCGCGCGACGATTTAATTTCATGCGCAAAGGAAGAAAAGGTTCACCGAGGAGTCTCCGCCTTGCCTCTCGCTGCTCCTATTACGGCGGTGCACGTTCCGCAGGGCGATATCACCGGCCCGATAAGGGGGCTTCGGAGACCAAACGCCGGAGATCGCATCTGCGAATAATGCAAGCGAGCTCCTCCGAAATAACGTCGTCATGATTTACCATACCGCAGGATATAATCAACAATTCCAATTCTCGACCGTTACTCCGATCTTTATCGCGCGCAAAATTACCGTGGGTTTACCCATGTATTTCTCTCGCGGACCTGGTACTCCTAGATACACAGGCACTCTTCTCGCTGACGAGTGATGAAAGTAAGACTGTTATAAACAAGATAATTTCGTAAGAGATTGTCTAAGGAATTGATTCTTTCGCCGACGTCTTCTCCAAGTGTTTTACGCACCCACAGAAAAAATTTTCCGGATCCAACGCTATTACACTTGAATGCATTGTAAAATAGGATCGATATAGCGTCAATCATATTTATTACAGAGAAAGGAGTATTTTAATTTTAAATGAAAAATTCTAAAATCTAGAATAAAATGATAGTGCGTATCGTCTTTTGTCGAGTATCGTGATGCTAACTTCGTGCGTTGTAAGATAGAGGGAAAATTTATTCTAAACGCAAAAATATATTAAGTTACTCTTGTCTCAATATAGTAGGTAAGTCAATCTTTTTTAATCCGATAAAGGAGACTAAGAATTATTGATTTTACTTTGATATTGTCTTACTTTTATACTAAATGTGGTTGTGAGAAATATACATGCGTCAAGAAAATTTTTGGTCTCGGTAACAGAAATCCTTTCCGTGGGTGCGAGCACAACAAAACGCGGTCTTTTTATTATTATACAGTTCCCGTTTAATCGCCGCTGTAATTATATAATTTTCGTGACGTTATTGGCCGCATACCTCGTCGGGATATTCATCCGCGGCCTGTTTACCCCTTTTTCGGATACACGGTGCAAATATTCGCGCGTAATGCGCAACGTATGCGACACGGCGATCCACTGAGAGTCGTGCTAGCTCGGCGCCACGTTAAATTACATTTATTATTCTCACGACACACCGCCGTAATACATTTCGCCGACAGCAACGCTAATCTACACTCTCACAATGAATGCGCACAGGCAGCACGCCTCATCAATCACACTTGCGAGGAAAGTCCTCCGGCCTCCAGAGGAACTGATTTTCATTAAATTGATATACCGATTCCCCGTATCTCCCGCGAACCTCTGGCAGCCGCTATTTCCTAGCAGATGTTTGCGTGCCCGCGCTGGAAGTTAAAGGAGCCGTACTTTAGTCCGCAACTGGGGCGCAGAAATGTACATCGCGAAGAAATTCCCGCGAGAAGGGTATTCTTCGATAAAGAAACATTTTAAATACTTCAAATGTTCAAACTCTTCAAATTCACCCCTGGAATCTCCGATAAAGATTGTTTCGCCGGAAAAGCTTTCGAAAAAATTGTCAGCGAACCTATAACGTATTAATCTCTTTCGTTTGCAAGCGAACTCGTGACGCACACATTAATTTGTTGCACTTGTCAACAAGTATCTGTGTATGCATTTATTCCGTTAAGACTAATATTACATTTGTCGCACGACAAATTCTTCAAGCATGCTGATTAGCAGGATAGGCTCGAGTATCTATAGAAATTTTCTATATATGTCTTTGTTTTTCCTTCAAATTAGACAAGGATAGACCAAGAGGTTGAGAAAATCGACCCTGTACTTCACTGAATCGATCGTAGCAACTGATCTATCAGCAACCATGTCTGCGTGAACCGACATTTATGTCTTCGCAAAAAAAAACCGGAGAACGAGAGGAGGGAAACTGGCGAAGGGTGCGAAGACAGAAATGGACGAGAAGTGGACGATATTGAGAAGCGGAGTTCGCGTCTCGGAAATACTGTAAGCAGGGCTGCACTGTGGAGCAGACCTCCGCTGCCATTGTCCGTAGACGTGCGGGCGAACCCAGGTCTTAAGATCCAGTCTGGTTTCTCGGGGACAAAGCCACGGCGACGAGGCTGCCAACGAGGGAATGCACAATTACACACGCGTCGTCTGCTCCGTCTAGTCTGCTAAGAAGGCCTTAATTAACGCGAGCTTTCGGCGACGCCTCGCCGCCGAAGTACGTCTCGCTCCTGAGCGCGAGGCCCTTTCTTTCTCCCGGCGCGACGCGGTGATCCCTTAATGCGTTTACGATTAATCGTGTCGATCTTCCGCCCGCGAGGAACAACGCGGGCGAAACAACGGAGATAGATACGCCTGTCGACGGTGCACCGTCGTGCGAGTTGCGCGATTAGAGAGGAGATGATGCCGCGATAGAGGAAAAGTAACTCGAAGGGAGCGCGGAGAATTTTCAGTGTTGTCGCGAAACTCGGATGAAATCTGATCTCTCGAGAGTACGTCGCTTTTGCTGCTGTCGAAACGCCCTTTGAAAGGCACCTAGAGATTTCGGGTAAACGAAGAGTCGCTCGTTGAAGCGTTAGCTCCGAGGGGTAAACCGCTGAGGGCATTGTGGTGTACAGATTTGCGGCATTACTAGGCATTACTAGGCATATTTGGGCATTAGGCCTTGCTGGGACATTTATAGAAAGATAAAATAAGATAATAAGATAAAGCAATACCATCAAGAATTATTTGACACCGGCAAATGACTAACCATGATCAAGCTTCTAATCGACCACGACTGGCGATGTGTTTTTTAACACAGAAAATTTCTTGCGAAAAATATTACCTCAGCCAAGGTTTGAACCTGGACCTCCCTTATTCTCTAGGCGGGCGTCTCACCAATTCGACCACTGAGGATTATAATTTTAATTATTTTTGCCTCAGCCGGTCTTTCCGTGTGGGCCAATAGTGGGCATTTGTGTGCAAGATTTTGGTCAGCGGTTTCCCCCTCGGTTAGCTCCGTGTCCCGCGTTCTCTCTTGCCCGTCAAGTTTCATCCGCGACGTCGTCTCCAATCTCCGAGGGCATCGGAGATGATTTTAAGTATGCGTCCCTCCAGCTACCCCATTTCGTACGATCGACCCTTAACCCGGCATTCCCGCGGCCCCCGTCCGCTCGAGGGACATCGCGGCCCCGCGCTCGGTAGATCCCGATTGAAGAGGCGACCCCCGCGGACGTAAGAACGGGGCGCGTTATGTGCTCTGCATTATGGAGGTCGCCCGGCCATCCGAGAATGTCAGGGCGTTACATAAAGGCCGTTACCAGGCACACGGTGGACGACGAGACTCGTCGGGGCGAGGAGACGCTCTCTTGATCTCCTCCTGCCTCGTCGCGCGGCAGGTCCGAAAAGGTCAAACGTGAGGGAAAGACGCGCGCTCCCGGCATTCGACAGCATCATCAGCGGGCGACGATCGAGCGGCAAAAGAGAACGCGAGACACGAAGCTAACGCTTCAACGAGCGACTCTTCGTTTACCCGAAATCTCTATGTGCCTTTCAAAGGGCGCTTCGACAGCGGCAAAAGCGACGTACGCTCGAGAGATCAGATCTTGCCCGAGATTTTTCACGACGATACTGAAAATTTCCCGCGCGAATAAATCGTTAATTCTTACAAACCAACGTTTAACCGCGTTTCGAAAAAAAAATCGACGGAGGAAATACTGATTTTTGCGAAGGCAACGGGCTGTCGCACGTCTAGCGAAATAAAAATTGACGTGTTTTATTGCGACGGTCCCTTCGGGCCGTCCGACAGCTGGGAACAGTCCCTCGGAGTTTCCGGCTCTCGCATCCCTTTCCCTTTCGATAACTACATAGGTACACATAAAAATAGCTAGTAACCTCTTCAGGTGAAGGGCTCCTGCGGGAGCTACGTTAGGTGCACGTGCCGTGAATTTTGGATGCGATTCCGGGCGCGTACCTTCGTCAATCCCCCTTCGTGCCCCATCCCTCGGCGCGACATCGCCAATATTCGACGTCCCGAATCCACCTTTCGTCCTTTTTCCACGACCGCGATCGTGTTGTCTCTCGAAATCTATAGACGGCGCCTGCACAAATCCAATGTTCGCGACGAGGGCGCGCGGCGACAATAAAGTATATAATTCGATTCCCTCGCGTTTTCAGGGGCACTGAGCCAGAAAGAAACGTCTGATTTATGCCACTTCTCGCGAACGCGCGCCACTTCGACGTCAACGTGGCGTCGATATCGAATGAACATTCTTTTTTTTATCCGAGCCACGACGCGGCAAAGAGATCTCTCGCGAATCAAACCGCGAGAGCGTAATCGCGGCTACCTTAATGGCTCCTCCTCCCTGCCGTTACTTTTTATCACGAATGGGAGAAGCTTAATACGACAGCGCCGCGAATTTCCCGCGAGGAGCCGAAACTCTTTTACGCGCGGGCATCGACGGCGCAGCAAAGTTTCCCGCGTTAGCGCGGCGTCGCATAAAGCAAAAGAAGAGAGAGAGAGAGAGAGAAAGCGAGAAAGAGGAAAAAAGGAAGAAAGAATATTTCCTACACACCGTCGGGACTCGTTTTGGATAAGTTTCGCGCTAGTTGGAGACGCGTCTCTCGAAGGATTTCAAAAATTACTTACCAACAACAAGTCCCGCCGAGGTAGACTAATTTCCCGAGAAGTTCGTGACCTGGAAAAAAAAAAGAACAAGCCGCTTGATGCATTGCGATTCTTAACTTCCCTCTGTAAAATTAAAGCTCGCGTGCAAAGGTGCACGGGGGAACAGATCAATCGCGCCCTCCAAAACGCCTCGCTTCGAGCGCACGTGCTCCAGCGGAAGAGCCGCGCAGCTTCCCCCGACGGGATTTCCAGGTAACATCCTACCTCGCGGGCAAGCTTCGTGATATTATCGCGTTTATTATCACCGGATATATCGCTCGTCTCGTACCGCAAACAGAACGAAGAAGTAGACCGCGATATCCATCGCGATTATACTATACGTTTATCGATCCCTCGAAGCGAAAGCTTCGCACTTTGCGCAAAGGGGCAGGAACGTCGCGCGGAATTTCGTGTGCGCGGCTGATACGGAGATTATCCTCCCCGAGGCAGCCGCGTGCGCGCCTATAATTCAATTAATTACGTGTACATTGCGCAACGTGAAAGACTCCGGCTCTCGACGGTCGATGGCCGGAACTTTCGGGGTCCGCGACGCCCGGTTATGAGTCGAGCGCAGCGCGATTAGTTCGTAACAATCCCAGACAGCACGAGAAGTTATATCCGGCACGGCTGCACAACGGTAGTTACAAAGCCAGATACAGTAATGAGCGGTTTCTCGCTCGGCGGGGTAACGCGCGGACCCGCCGGGGGGGGAGGGGGCGGGGGCTAAAGATTAATTCCGCGTCAGGGGCACAAATCCGCGCGTGGCATAAATCTCCGGGGCTCGGGAGAGCCCCGGCTCTCCTCTTAAGGAGCCGAGTTACGCCGCGTCTGCTTGATTCACCTCCGGTTTACCTCCACATTACACCCGGCGTCGTGGCACTTCATCGTCATCGCTTTTGTTCGGTTATCTTCTGTGCGAGACAGGCCGGAGACAAATCGGACGCGCCTCGTGTTTACGTATTACCGTCATTTCGCAAACAAAGGGATAATTATATATAAAAGCTGCAGATTACGGCGGAAGCTATAGAGGGCCGCGCGATAATTTCCGAATTATTCGGAATGCCCGTGCGAGTCTTAATGTTTCATTTTAATTTGCCATATATTTCCTGCATTTCTCTCTTCTCGAAGAAAATGTTTAAAAAACTTAGCGATTAAACTGTATACGTTTATAAGTAAATTGTAACTGTAAACGTATAAATTGATAGAGTTATAATTTAATACACATTTATATTGTGAATGACAGACCAATTTTCCTTGACTTTTACAAATAACAGCTCTGAATGTTTCCACGTCAGTGCCGCGAACGGATTCCTCGCGTACATCATTAAATTCAAAAATTACAAACCAGACGAAATGTCTAAATCCACGGCACAGACGTTCGTTTCCAGTCGTCTGTTCCGCTCGTCAAGATAACGTAAGCTGCGCTCGGGTGCGGGCAAAAAAGCACGGAACAAAGTTAAATTGATGCAGCAGCCGGGATGCCCATTTAGTAACTTTGGCAAGTTATAAAGCAACTTTCTCGTTTAAGGCCAAAGTAAACTGAAACGCCCGGCGAATCGAACCGAGCCGAATAGACGGCGGAGTGTACTGCCTGCTTTATACTATGACACATTGCACGACGATCGAGATCGATAGTCGCAATTAGACGGTAACTGTCCTGGAAAAGGGGGCGAGTGTAAGAAGTACCGCGCTGCAACTTTCTACGATGTCGCCAATGTGCAGCGCGACGGGCGTGTGGCGATAAAGAACCCAATGTAAAATACGTCGAATAAATCACGTTCGCAGCATCCGCGGTTCCCGTCGCGATCGACGCCGCGTTCGCGGAACAGCAGCTGTATTTGCCTTCATTGAACGCGCTCTGTCGATCTCGGGGCGAGGAAAAGTAAGTTAGCGACCGACCGACCGACTTTCTTCGATTCATCGCGGTATTAATTGTTCCCGCAAATATTGATTAAATTAACAATGAATTCTGTTCAATCGAGAAAATGTTTCGAAACAAAAATCGTTGTTACTTAAATCTCTAATTACTAAGATTAGAGATTTTACCTCAATAGTTGGTGTATACAAATGTATATTTCTAAATTGCAAATCTTCATTTGCTACGAATCTAAAAGAGAAGTGAAGCACACCGCACTTCGAGAAAACCAATCGGCATCGCGGAAAAGACGCCTCAACTGTTTAATATTAACGACATTCGCGCTGGTAACATTTCTTTTTTAGAACGGGAGAATTTCATCGGTAACTGCATTTCGTCGGATATATTCATAATTTAAATGGAAAACGTAATCGGAAAAATGAACCATCGGAAACACTATTTCATTGGTTTATCCGATGGAAATTATTCTCAGTGCAGTTCAGACAGTGCCGAACTCATTTGCACTCGAGATCTTAACGAAGAGAGAAGGCGTCTTTAAGATCATTTCGAAGCCCTCGTAAGATATAGAGAAAATTGCACGCCCCCCCAAACGCTTTTTAATGTTTACGATACACCGACAAAATATAACGACGGGCTAAGTTACAGAATTCGTCCTTATTTCCCTCCGTTTTGTAAACGACTTCGTATGTATGGTACCTCGGGGACTTTTCGTATTTCTCTACGCGAACGGCTCGCATAAAGACGCCATTATCAAAACGTCTAGACGGCAAATTCCTCCGAGGGAAGAGGAGCGTTCGATACGCACTGCCGGTATTATCTGTCGGATATTACGGCGCGAAAGAGCAGGTGGAAACTAACGTAGAATGAGAGAAAAGAAAACGAAACGAGAATTATATCGTGCCGTTAAAAACCGACGTGGATTATTAGCGATCGACAAAAAGAGTAATTGGGCGCGCCCTGCAGCTCATGATTTAATTAATCGCGCGTGAGAGCAACGTCGATCCAAAACGTTGTTTTCGCGGACGCGACCAAGTTCTACGTTGCGTCCCGCGATTATGTGACAGCGAAATTTTGCATACTAATGCATATTCATTCAGTATTTAGCGCCGGCACGAGTTCGCGGCATTAAATAAAAATGTGATTTGCCGCTCTGTAATTTCGAGGCTGTTTCACCACGGGTGTGATTCAATTAGCGGGCATGCAAATTGCGTAACGTGCCCGTTTATTTTCGCATAGGCGCTCCGACGTGGATAACAGTTAGTATCAAGTACGAAAAGCGTATTCGTAAACACGGGCCCCGAGAAATTTATCGCACGCTAATCGAAACGGATTTGTCGAATCTCTCGTATCGCGCAAAAAGAATGGCACTTCTAAGCTTCAAACGATACAATCGCATAAACGCTCTCGCGACATTAAGGGGATGCTGGAGTGATTCTGCACTTTTGGCACCTTTTGCTCCTAAAACTGTTAATTTGTGAAAACATTTGTGTAATATACAAATTATGTGGCTTTTGCGTACAGACCGACAGTGCTCCACTATTCGGACAAATCAGAGAACAGCATGGTATCATTGGAATTGAGTTTAAAAGTCATATGAGAAATCTATTCACTCGAATAAGTTACGGGTTGCATTCGAGTGAACAGATTTTGTGTTAGGCTTCTAAACTTAATTTCAATGATACCATGCTGTTCTCTGATCTAATCCGAATAGTGGAACAGTGTCGGTTCGTACACAAAAGCCGCACAATTTGTATATTACATAAATGTTTTCACAAATTGACAGTTCTAGGAGCAAAAGGTGCCAAAAGTGCAGAATGACTCCCAGCATCCCCTTAAGCCAGTTGATTGCTGGTCCAGCGGGGGGAAAAGCGATATTATGTTACCACGCGCGCTTAATACAACATCGCGCCACGTAAAAAACAGCGTGCTTTTATTTAATAAACCGGCGCTCACGTCGGATATTCCGGTGTCGTCCGTCATTAAAACATTCATCCTCCACGAGGATGTGCTGTAATTACGCGGAGAACGAATGGAATCTGGCAGCGACGGTCCACAGCGTTTTGGACGGGAACGAAAGCGCGACAGTCGCATTCAAGTACGATCGAATTCCTGGTGTTCTCGCGTTGCCCGGGCAACCGGATTTTTCTCCGACGTCGATGGAATTACGCTGTTAATTGCAGTCAGGCACGAGATCTGTATAAAGTGCGAAAACGAAGTGGCAATTACGTTATATCGGCGAGCGAAATGCGTTCGTCGGCCTAGTGCCCGTCATCGATCGCCGCGAAGGCGTTAATTTTATACCCGTAGAGCATCTCATTTTTAGAATTTCGATACGAGTCGATTAAAATACGAATTGACGAGAGATCTTAATTTTTTTTCCAAAGAGTTAACTAATTTCGATACGACTCGAAAAGAATTTTGGAGATTGAAAGCATGAAAAATAGTGGCTCGTGGTTGTCTCCTCCTGGCGACAACCGTGCAGCCTCTCTCCTCTTTTTTTTCACCTATCCGTTCTGCTATTTTCCTCTTTTCCCCTCTCCGCCTCTCTTTTCCCTTTGTAGCTCTCTTCGTAATACTGTGACTTTGATTTTCTAAAGTACAAAGAGTAAACCGTTGAAAAATGTCGGTGTAAAAGAGACGCTGGCAGAAATTAGCGTGTACCACCTAACACTGTGGCGCATAAAAAAGAGTTACGAAGCTGAAACAGAAGGGAAGCAATTTTTTTCCAAAAATTTCACTTCAACACTAACCGGGGAAAATAGTTCAAGATTTATATTAAAACTTATGTAAAGAGGGAAATTAATCAACAGTGTGAAGAGATAATTAAATACCGCAGCAATATCCAAAACTTAAACGAATTTTATCGCGAAACAGAGATAACGCTACTAAAAATTACGTGCCTCTCGAGTTTAACTTCCTTTCATTTGGATACAATCCCGATATGTATGTATAAAGTAACCGTAATGAGGATTTATACGGTGTCTTTATAAAGTCTAGTCTAAAAAAAATCAGTTTAAATTTAAATAAAGCTTAATTCGTGTACCGCCTTAATACCGGAGTATCCTTGTAGGTCTATTCGGATATCCCGTCCATCGATCCACTCCAGAGAGATGTTCGCCGACGGCGGCGGGCTTAGTTGATTGAAAGCCAGATTA